AACAGCTCGTGGCCTCATTGACATTGCTTCAACCAGTGAGGTTTCAAGGACACCCGTGCCCTGAAGTTTTCTTGAGAATTTGACAGGGGGAAAGAAACTTCGAAAAGGGAGAAAGCTGAAACACGAGCTGTGATTAAGTATCTGCATAAAGGGCACATCACAACGGAAATACAGGTCAGATACGAAGATATGAAAAACACGCTTGAGGATGACTTCCCTGCATAGTCAATCGTTAAGATATGGGCTGCTGAATCCAAGTGAGACGGAAGAAGCACAGAAGATGACGTCCTGAAGATGCTACGTTAGAAATTCAAGTGGATGCTGACCGTCCTGTTACAATTCAAAATATAACTGACACTATTAGGACCGTTTTGGGGTCAGTACACTTCATTTTAATGTTTGTTTGTTTGTTTGTTTGTTTGTTTGTTTGTTGACCACCAGAACCCTTTAGTCGCCTCTTACGAAGTCCATCTTAAGACACACTGCATGAGCAAGCTGTCCACAAGATGTATCCATGACGATGACACCAGATCAGAACCTGACCCGACTGAACAAGAGACCTTTTGTCCAGTTATCTGCAGAATACTCAAAGCTTTGTTGCGCGAATTGAAAGCTTGGATGAAACTTGGATCCATCGCCTTGATCGAGAGACAAAACAGTGGAAACCTTTTACTTCACCCCAAGACAGAAGCACAAGATCAATTAATCACACATTAAAACAGGAAAAGCGTGTTTTATTGTTTGTTACGGGATTTGTGCATAATTTGCTCGTATTAAGCGTGCTCGCAGCTAGTGTCTCCGTACAATTAATCTGCGTAACACTGACCTTTCACCAGAAGTATGAAAACGCTATTTTTCGTGTTTTATGAGCGGGATATGGGGTTTTGAAGATGCGAACTGTGACATAGTGGCTTTGTCACACCTGTATGTGGGCCTCATTTTATGATGATAAATCCAATCTATCTTTGTGTGTCAGCTGCTTGTCACGTTATGTTAGGTCACCAACAACGTACCTATGATCTTTCCTCAATTACCGGCAATTGTGCTGTGTGCATGCCATGAGCTGAGGTCATGGAACGTTATGTGCCTGTTATAAGCAAGCCTTGTGAACATGTATGACATCCGAGTCCTAAATGGTGGTTTCAATGTGGCTGTGTAAAACGAATGTGAGTGTGCGACACAACCTGATTGGATTCGAAGCATGGAAATGTTGTGTGGTCTTTTTCACAAATTATAAAAACTCACGCAAGATCCGGCTTGGCGACATGATATCATATGATTGATACGCCTCTGCATTCTGTTAACCGTGTGGATTGAGTTATCATGGAAACATATGTTGTCATCCATTGAATCATGAATCCATAGCATTCTTGAGTGATATTATATTTGCGTCACAACTTTATTAGTAAGAAACTGTTTTCTAAGAAAACACGTTTTGTATTTACAATGTTGATAATATTAGTAGTTTAAACATTCGTGGGTGTTCGGTATTTGATGCCCGGACATGGGATTGGGTGTTACACATAACGTCTTAACTCCTATAAATGCATGCATGGAATCAGATGCTTCTAGACGGAAACGTGTCTTCAAAAGCTGGGTCTACATTACACGTGTTGCATTCTGGGGAAGGCTTATTTCATCACATACAAGAGGACTCAGTTGATAAAATTTATAAAATGGCGTATTTACGTCCCCATCACATAGAGTGGTAGTTTCAGCATCCGGGCCACACGTAGTCCTGACTTTCACCTAGCATCGAGTAACGCACATATTTATTTGTGTTATGTAAGCGATTAGACCAATATTTGTTCACCTCTGACTTACTTCAACTTGAGCTTGACCGAGGAGAGAGAGAATTATTGTTACCTCGATGCGTTATTAGAGAAAGATATGCCGCCATATGGCAGTCGAGAAGATCGTAGAACATGGAGAATCTGACGTAATATCTATTTATCACGCCTCATTGTGTCTGGCTGAACGCTGATCGCCAGTAATTACCTATCTTAACCCTGTGACAGACACACAGAATAATTTGTTTGAATCTCACTACACAGAACATGGATATGGTACATCAATTCTCCAGTTTAAATGCATTTTCTTTATTTAAAGAAAGGACGGCATATTAGAATACCTCAGAGCAACATTGCAAAAGATGAAATTTTAGAGCCACAGACGACTGTTACTACATCCTATAAAGGTTATTATAAGAAAGGCACTCGAAACTCCAAATAGCATACCTAGCTGGTCTAATTAAACATAAGACAACATTTGAGAAAATGCAATGTGCTGTTCAGTAAAAGAAACAACACAGTTTGAAAACCACGTTACAAAGACACAAACCAATGTTGTTTTGTATGCATGTCCGAGATCGGTGGAAGGTGTTTCTGCTGTAGTGTGTACGCACTACTTGTGTCCGAGGCCACAGCCAGCATACAGTACATGTATACACATTATTAAGCTTATTTCCATACCAACGAAGTGAACGTGTTTCCAGGAAAGAAGCAATAGCTTACGATAATAGCCACTTCACTCCTTACTTGCGTTTTAAGTGTCTTTGTGTCGGACATGTAAGTGTCTTACACTTAACTGTAACACTTCAAAATATATTCATGGCCACCAGCGTTATTTCTGTAACATAGCAACCAACAGGATCGTAGAAACATGACAACTGTTGAAATATCATCCTTTGAAAATACTGCAACTAATTTATGGAATGAATATTAGATCCTACGTGTGTGATCAACGACTTAGTGGCAGTAAATCCGCAGTAACTACAATAGTGAATTTTAATTTAACAGCAACAAATATACAGAAAACTTTGCTCTACATTTAAAATGGAGTACGTCTCCTAAATGTATGTGTGGTGACATACAACCACGTCCCTACATACAGCTGCGTGCTTTAGAGGCAGTAAAAAGACAAAATGCCCAAAGTCTTTGTAAGGCGTTTAGAAGTGATGCACATGAGGAAGAGAATTTATGGATGTCAACTTCTTTATTATGAGGAACACAACGTTTCGGAGTATATGCTTACTCCTTCACCAGGTGAATGATGATGAATGAGTAAGCATATACTCCGAAACGTTGTGTTCCTCATAATAAAGAAGTTGACATCCATAAATTCTCTTCCTTAAAATACCAAAAGTTTCCTAACTTATCACAAGAGAGCATCTCCTTATTGTATCATTATTTTTCTGTTTGTTGCAGAGGCAACACCTATCTTCGTTTTGTTAACGTCGAGCTGAAGCTACTTCACCTACGATCCACATCTCTTCTGTGTTATATGCCGAGCAATGTCCGCTGTGTATAGTACCTGGTAAATGCGAGCAGCTACATTACATCAGCTTCAATATTGGAATGGTGTCACTGTTTACTAACACTTAAGTTTCATCATTGTACTATCACAAACTGACGTAATCCTACATGACAAGGGAGTAATCGACCCCTTTGTAGCTCTTTGCACGAGTGGATACGAAATTGTTTATTTCCGGTTAATTCCAAAAGTAATTTATTCCGAGTTGATGACGAGACGAAAACTGTTGACACGTGTAATTGAAGACTAAGGCTTGCTACCCGCTTACAAAACATCGAGAGAACCAGGTTAGATTGTTTCTGCCTTCTTTGCTTTACTGAATGTTTGGCAAAGTTTGTAAATTGCTTTCCAGATTCACCGTGTTTATCCGTATTCACTTGTATTAAGCTTTGTAATTTAGAAAATGGTATAACTTTCAGAATGTTTATTTTCAAAACAAAACCAGGAAACACGAGATGACCTCAACAAAAGGCTTCGGCCTAGAGCAGTGCGGTGCTCATGGCATTATGTAAGACAAATCAAATGGACAGCTTAATAGGCAGTGATTATTTCTGGGTGTCAGTTTCCACAGAGCCTAAGTCGCTAATCTTTTTATTTCTATTGGGTACACCAAACTTAGTACATTCGTCTCTGAATTGAACTATCGGTATACATACTTTCGAGATAAAAGGAAATGAGGAAACGACATAACATAAAACACATTCCTCCCAAACCACTTCCTGTGCCTTCAGCAGAAATCCGTTCTCTGTGGCTAAGCGTTAGTGGGCATTTGTCTCTCCCTAATTCTGTTATACAGTACTCATGGACTAAGTATTGTCATTAACACGTCCTATGTGCGTGTGTGATCATGGGTATACGCATGCACACACACACACACACACACACACACACTATAATAGACTGACAGTAAATATGTATAGGTGAATATGACGCTTTTGACGTTTGCTATCAGTTGATCAGGTCATATTGGCCATAGTTTATTCACACAAATACCTACTGAGACGATATACCACAAGATTGGCCTTGGTGGTTTACTTCCTCAACAACAATGTCAAACTTTCATTCATTAAAAGGCATGTGTAGGCACATTGTTGGATTTACCTATCAACTAGGAATAATGAAAAACTGTAGGTCAAAAGTCCTAGAAATTATGACAAGGAGTGATACCAGAGACTGTATATCGAAGTCTCGTTTACAAATATTTTTTCTCGTACCTAAAGGGTACACACGTAGTGAACGTCCACAAGTATGTGATGGGTGTAGCCGTACTTCAAGGTAATCGATTGTTATGACAGAAGTTAGGACAAAATTTAGCAATTCATAGACTGCTCATGTAACGTTGACAGTAACATGTTCATATGTATGTGTAATAGGCGACTATGCTTGTCGTAACAGGCGACTAACGGCATCAGTTGGTCAGGCCCGGTGACTTGGTTGATGCATGTCATCGTATCCCAATTGCGTAGATCGATGCTCATCAGTGGATTGTCTGGTCCAGACTGGATTATTTACAGACCGCCTTTAAACAACAAACAAATGCATTAGTCAGGACTAGATGTACTGTCCCATTGGCTGTGGCCAGCTGATGAAACTGCAGAGTGTGGGTGCTGTTTCTAAGTCCACTGGTTGGAGCGTAATAGTACCATTAACAAGTTCCATTATTTGTTTATAATAACAAAGGCATTCCATTACATTTAAAGACTTTATTTCTTCGAGTCTTCGGTTTTATATACATTATATACAAACACATGACATACACGTATGGCACGTACCCAGTAAGTAGCGTGCTAGCCCTAAGATGCTCTTCCGAAAATCCGGCCGGTAGTAATATTGGTGAGGATATAAGGTGGCGTATTCCCAACAATTTTCATAGTGAACGTTAGATCGTGTCAATTACACAAATAATAACAGGATACATCTTCAAATTATACTCCCATATTCCACTCTCACGTCAACTAGATTAAATATCTGACCCTCATGGGGGACATCCATGACAAACGAGACAGTGAAACAATGGTGTGCGGCATGCAGCAGTCACTGAAGTATGACATCAACAATGTCGACAACAGTCACAAATCTTTGCAAACTAAGTACGCGTGTGCACATTATATGTATACATCTGTGTAACTCGTTGGGTTGTCGTTTTTTAAGCACCTTTCGTAAAAAATTAGAACATAAATTGGCACCATTTGAAATCTTTTGATTCACGTCTTGAACAGTTTGTTCACATTGTAAATGTCTCACATTTATTATTTATTTGGCATGCAAGTATGATGTTTTACTCCACAACATCAGCACACATACATACACATCCTTTCACATTTACAAGATGACATTATGGCAATATTTGGCAGTGCGGACAATACTCTTTCAATACTCTTACACTATAACATCCTTCCCCAGAATTCTCTCCTCGAGTAAGTCTTCCTGGTTAAGTGTATAACTTCCGGATGTAGTTGTGCTGCCGTCGTCATCGTGGGACATGTTGGAAGACTGTCTACGGTATGACAACGGCCTTGAATAGTTGTTTGATCTGTCCTGGAAAGTATTGTGGCCTTGGCGCAATAAATAGTCACGTGACATGTCTCTTGGACTCTTCTTACTGGGGAAATCACGTCCCTCATGGAAACTGTTCGTGTGCAAAAACCTGACTTGATTGTGTCTGGAATTTTGAAAGTCAGGAGCCTGTTTGATCGGCAACGGGTAGCACTGGTCGAATGAGTGACTCTTACTGCCCTGAATAGGTGCGTCCCACCGTCTGAGGTGCATTTCTAGGAATACAAAAAAGACACATGTTAGTATTATCTCCAACTCTAACATAACATATTCAGTCTCACAGACTGAACAAAAAGCCATTTAGTTGATCATTAACACTATTTAACATTTTGAATGCAGTCTTAATCTTCCGAATAGCTTTCCAAGACAAAAAAACAGGAAATGCACTTTCCGAGGCTGTTTCCAGTTGACCAGCGTTTTGCCAGAACGCATCACATCACTGGCCAAGCCCCGCTGAACATGACAAAGGGCTGCCCAACTCATCTCATTATGTCTTCAGTGATAATACAGCCGGCTTTAGCCCTGAATATCTGCACCTTCATGGGAGTGGTTCAGAACTTACTGGGCTGAACACCTGGTTTGATAGCATATGCAACTAGACGAAATATGCTAACAATTTGTTGAGAAGGATAGTAACAAGAATGGTTGTATCGTATATGTTATCATATATACTGCTCATGTTTTTAAACAGAGGAAACATAGATTCAGAACAATGAATACTGTTTTGCCTAGTTTCTACTTGGGACAACAGCCAGGTTAGAAAGGTGTATTGGTGTATTGCATGAGGTTACCCACATATATCACGTTACCATCGACTGTCCTTCATGTATTGAACCCAACTGTGTGATACAGCACAGACAAATCAGCTATAATTACTGGGCTTGTTGACACTGTCACAAAAGAAAAACGCTACTTCCATGAATAGGAGTCACCGATGACTGGGATAACATCAACTGTGGTGAGCCTTTCTCTAAAGCCAAAAGCTCTCTATTGTGGCGATATACCAACACGTGTTGCCTGGACAAGCTTTTCAATAAACTAACCCAATGTGAAGAAAAGAAGAAACATTTCTGTTGATGGTCTGTAATTACTGTAACGATATAGCACATTAAGCATATGCCACATTCCGATAACTTATTTCAAATACAAAAGGAAAGCTCAGCAGTCGATTCTATCTGTACGTGTGTCTCAGTGATGACACATAATACGCGGCGTTCCTGTGATTGGTGGTGTGTTCGGGATTAAACTTTCCTAGGAAGAAGCCAGCCCTCTGTTGTTAACGTGATGTTGATGGTAATAAACAAAACTGACCCATGGATAAAAAAAAATCCCAGTCCTAAACATGCCTCAAGATCATTACACTCATTAAAAACCACCCACTATTATTTCAAATTGTGTACATTCAAGAAGCTTACTTTTATCTGTCTGGATGTTCACTTCTTCCTCACTGCCGCCTCTGCCGCTGTCGCTAGGAATTGTTTCCCCGGAGGTATCGCTATGAACGTCATCCAGCTGCAAATTAAATATACTTAATAAATAACTGTTCTCTAACATATCAACAAAGTCATTAACTCAACACAATGTAGTACAAAGATTCAAATTCCAAGTTTACCCATTATCAGTGGCGCATGCTTCATAATGACGACATGAGTAAACATTCCATGTATCCAGGGTATTGTGGAAGTGAATGGACAAAGGAGCGCAAGAGCTATCATACAATAGATTAGTAGCACAGGAGACAATATACCAGGGGTCAGAGATAGTAATGAACGTTTGATGAGAGGGTAAACAAACTACTATCACAAAAAGGAAACCAAGACGATCAGTGGACCCTCGAAAAATTATTCGTTATTATTATTATTATTACTTTTATTATTGTTGTTATTGTTATTGTAAGTATTAATTTTATCCTCATGGTGTTCAAATCATATCGGAATGTATGAAATGGCTGGTTACCTTCTCTTTGGCAGCCTATTTAGACACAACACTCAAACTTTGCAAAGTTGATATATTGATATGCGAAATTTATAGCGTGTAATCATTGCAAAACCGATTAAATTCAAGGTAATCTACATCTTCGTATATCATGACTATTGTATGGAGTGGATTGTGCTTACTTGGAGTATTTTATCACCCTCGTCCATGAATGTCAGTCTGGCGTTGGTGAAGATGATGTCTCGAGGTTTGGAGTCAAGGCTGTCATCAATGCTGAAGCTAACTTCCTTCTTTTTGGACGACTGGTCGGCTTGCTTGGCTTGTTTCTGTTGGCCGCTATGGACTCCATTGAATGGGGTTATCCGTCCACAGTCGACCGTGCCCCCTGAAGACAACTGCACAACCTCGGATTGAGCTGTGGCGGGGACTTTAACAGCCGCAACGAGGCCGTTGAATTTAGAAGTGTTTGTTGATAATGATGATGATTTCCGTCGGTCAGTCCTGAGCACAAAGCAGATGGCAGCAATGATGATGATGGACAGAATAATAGTTGCCGCGGCAACAACAGCAGCGATGATGACGTACTTGTCACTTCTAGTGTGCACTGGTGTGAGTATACTGGTGTTGTTGTCAAACTCGACATCAATAATAAGGTGAGTTTCAGTCTTCAGTTGAGGAGTTCCTGAATCGTGCACAGTAATTGTCAGATCGTACACATTGTTGTTCTGTAGCTTCCACGTGTTGGCAACCTTGGTCTCACCAGTGCCAATGTCTATGGAGAAAGCATCGTCGGCGTTGCCGCTTGATATAACAAAATTTAGAGTCGAATTTTCACCAAAGTCGGAATCGTATGCAACAATCTTACCAATGACGGAGTCTCTTTCCGGGGCCCTGGAAATGAAGACCGTGTGATTGACAGTCGTGGGGAACAGAATTGATGGGACGTTGTCATTCACATCCAGCACTGTTATTGACACTTCTGAAGAGTTTGTCTTGGGTGGAGAGCCCTTGTCCCGTGCTAACACTGTGAAGATGTATCTACTCTTAACTTCTCGATCTAAGGACTCTTCGGCAATCACTGTTCCATTCAACAACACCTTAAAAGGAATCATACCATCTGGAGACTCGGCTATGAAGTATTCAATCTCACCATTAAGGCCAGCATCAAGGTCTGTAGCGGTGATATTTCCTACGATTATGTTAGCGTTCATGTTCTCTACAACACGGAACTGGAACAGCTGGTGAGTAAAGGCTGGGAATTCGTCGTTGATGTCACTGATGTTCAGCGTCACCTCCGTCGTACCTGTCTTGGCTACCATACCCTGGTCGATGGCGAGGACATGGAACTTTATCACGGGTGTCACCTCTCTGTCAAACTTCCTGTTAGTTGTAATGATGCCGGAATCGTATTGGATTCTGAAGGATGGTTTCTGCGTATCTTCTACAACGAAATATCGCAGTCGGGCATTGTCCCCTTGGTCAGCATCATAGGCTGACACATGCAGTACGGAGTATCCAATTGGACTGTTTTCCGGAATAGACACGTTGTATTGTCTTCGCTGGAACTGGGGTGTGTTGTCATTAACGTCTGTAACATACATCTGGAAAAAGGCTGCCCCAGACAGTGGAGGGTCCCCTTTATCCTGACACACGACACTCATGTTGTACGAATACCTGGATTCACGGTCAAGAACAGTGTTCACTAATACCTTGTATCCCTTCCTGCCAGACAGAGGCTCCAGCGAAAATGCAGTGCTGGAGATGTTACAAACGACGTCCCCGTTCTCACCAGTATCTGAGTCCTCTACCTCTACATACGCCACAAAGAAGCCCATCCCTGCAGCCTCCGAAACAGTGTTTCCTGACGTCAGGGTGTTGATCGTCACATGTGGAGGGTTGTTCCCCGAGTCAAGCACTGTAACAGTGACCACTATCTGTGTCATGAGTGAACGGTCACCACTGTCTAAAGCCTCCACGATCAAGTGATAGGGTGTGTCGGGCTCATACTCGAGTTTACCGGCCACTCTTATTACTCCAGTAGTTGGGTCTATAGAGAACAGAGACTGCAACTTTGCTGACTGTAAGTTACTGAATTGGTATCTCACTTCGCTATTGCTACCCAAATCCGGGTCAGTCGCTAACACAACAAGGACTGTTGAATTGATGGCGGCGTCCTCCTTCACCATGACATCGTAGGACGAGTTTTGAAATCGCGGAGGGTTGTCGTTTTCGTCGATGACGTTGATTGTAACCGCGAGAGTTCCTGTTTTAGGTGGGGAGCCACCGTCAGATGCAATGATGTTGAAAAAGTACTGATCTTTAAATTCACGGTCAAGCGACTTTCCAAGGAGAAGATTTATCACCGAGCTGCCATCAAGGTTCTTTGTCGTGGTCAGTGAAAACATGTTTTCCAGTTGCGACAACTCATATTTCTGAATGGTGTTATTAAGTTGTGAGTCTCTGTCGACAGCACCGCTTATTTTTAACACTGTACCGACGCTGGCTAATTCTGAGACATCGAGTGTCACCTCTGTTGCGGGGAAAGTTGGGGCGTTGTCGTTGATATCCTCCACGTAAACGTGCACAGTGGCAATATTGGAAAACGCGCGAGAATGAACAGCGACATCAAACTCAACGCGACATGCGTCGGTGAAGTCGCACAGAGCTTCACGGTCGATGCGACCTTGGATGTATAGTTTTCCAGAATCAGGGTCGATGCGAAACAGTTTACCAGGGTGACTGTCTTTGTTCAAAATCCCAAACTTTAAAGTCTGTTTCTCCGGCTGTGAAAGGTTCTTGAACATAGCACTACTATCAGACACGTTTCCTATGTAAGTATCACGCTTGATTTCTTCCGGTATTCTCAACACTAGGTCTGGAGTTTGTCCCAGACAGTGTCCACATAGGACTGTCAGCAAGACGACGACACCAACCCTCTGCATAATGATCTTCTCTTATGACACTTGGATCCTCTCCTTCACGTCAAACATCCATCACAGCACGGCGTCTCAACACACAATGTTGCCACTGGACTTACTGAAAAGGGAATAAAAGATACAGTTTAAATCTTTTACGCATGTGCATAATACCTACAACGATTTTATATGACGTTGTTCATAAATGACATGAATACTGACATATTATCTGTTAAATAACATATTACCCGATTATATACATTCCGCTTAACAACGACGGGAGGTATTCAAAAGCATTCAGTTATCACATGAAGATCGCATCGCATGTCAGTGGTCAGGGTGATGTAGGACCACAAGTAGTGGGGAAGCTTGTAACCTTGTACAGTAATTGCGTAAATGCGTTTCAATTAATATTGCAATAGTTTTTTTATAAGGAATTTACGCATGTTTACGTTGGATATCAATGTACTGTGTTTCAATGTGCTGTGTTTACTGTGTTTCGGGACTGCTGGGATTAGCCATTGTTATTAAGTATACATCAGATTGTATCCACTGACAAGAATATACAGCCTTTCGGGTTGTATCGATTGCTAGAGATAAAGAAAACGTAGCGTGTTAAGTCTAACGCAGATATTCAGAGATCATATCGGCACTTGATACTTGGCACAATTATCAGATACACAAAGGTTGGCAAGAACGATACAACATATACTGGACAAATGTCCTCCAACACAAATTAAAAAACATGAAAAGACTAACAGAAAAACCAACATCAGACAACCCTCTGATCAGAGACAGCTAACTACAATGGGGATAATCAAACGTACAAATGGCGTTCGTATAACGAATGTCGTCTTTAGCTGCACAGTGGGGGCAAGGGAGCAAGGCCAGGGCTGAATACAAAGGCTCGTTATTTGGCGACATTAGGGTCGTGATCTTTGCAATAAAAGTTGGTGGAAAAATTAACGACTTTGACAGTGTGTTAGAGTGAAACGGTGCTATTCAAAACACCTCAGTCAATTGATGTACAAATAAATGGACCGTGAAAGTACGAGATACTAAAACAGCTAATAAATAGTAACGACCCACAATAAGGATCCATATGCGAAATCAGTCAGAAAAAGAGATCAATGTTAAGAAAATTGTTAACAGTGGAACTTGGTTGTTCATATGGCAACGTGGTTATGTTAAAATACTTCCATATATACGCATGGCAAGATGCATAGTAATGCATGTAAATATGTAGAGTTTCCATGAGCACAAGGAACAGCGGGCTCTTTCCGACACATCAAACACTGAATACGCCATCACTGATCGGAGGATTTACGAGGAAATGGTGAGGTTATACATTGTAGACAAATGATATGGCAGGGGAACAGATGTGAATATGCAAACGTTCGCGACCAGATGTTCAATTTTGTAAAACATTTATATATAATATGAGGTCCAAAGATACGTATCGTGTCAGTGGCCATTACTTGGACTACTGTTACGTGAAAGTACCTGGTTCATATTCATTACAAGTGTAGCATATTAGCCCGCAAATACAGATTGAAAACATTCTTCAAAGATCTATGAGAAATTATCTAAGTGTCAAACCATGCAGGCTAATCTTTTGAAATAATATTTTCCAGTAGAGAATAACAGTAATATTTTACAAACTAATACAGAATACAAATATTCAAGAAAAAAACGTTTACCAATATATACATATTGTATATACAAACACTGTACGATAGCCCAAAATCGAAAATCATATGGAATAAATTGTTTTAAAATGTGGCGTTCACTACTCGTATTGACTCACTGAGACACAAGGTATATCCACTGGTTCTGTGACGGAGGTGTAGCCTGCCAATGAGCCTGTGTACTGTCCCCGCTAGCCACTAGTCATGTACACTGAGACAGGGGAGATAATAAATACACGGCCACTCACACAGGACACGGAGTACGTAACTGTCCTTATAGCCTGGGACCGGGAGGATATGTCAGTCTGGGAGGACAAGCCCCACATACATCAATATAAATGTCATATTGTTTCACGTAAAAAGTAATAGCTTCAGGAAAAATGAAGCGATGGTAGTCATCAGCCGTGTGGAGAATGAGTAATCGGGATTTGTGGGTGAGTCTTCTCTAGCCCGGGGATATACAGTAGTATTAACAATAGGTACGGGAAACAGCAACGGCACTGTCCTATCAAACCTCTGATTTGTAGAATGTCCTAGTTACAACCATGTCGGTCGCTTCTGTGGCTTCGTGGGTAGAGGAGAGGCCGGACGTTTGATGCCAGGACGCGCCATACCAACTTGTCACCCCGCCTGGCGCTCGGCATAAGGGGACACACACTATACAGTGCAACGACGTTGAACTCCATTTCGCCTCACCCACATGCATGTCCTGCCAGGCAAGGTATGCTGTCTTTCTTGGTTCCCGAAAACACGAGGCAATGTATAAGACACACGTCCGTACTGGCGATAAAGCTTACAGCTACTCTCTTACTCAGTCATAGATGAAATGTGTCAAGATAAAACTGATTTCAAACAATTTCAATAATCAACGACACACCACCACTCAAGATTCAGGAGAGGTGACTCTTCACAAATTCGCGGAATATATTTATTTTATGGAAAAAAAACACAATCTAGAAGCGTATACAAAAGCAAGTCTAGCCAGCTCCAGTTAGCTCTATTCAACAATAATGAAATCAGCATTGGGACATTTGTTTATTTTTAGAATCAAGAAGGATATTGTGTAATATAAGATTTCATAGACTAAATGTTAGTCTGTGGTACCTTTGTGGTCAAAGCCTACTTTAAGCAAAGGTGACGGAGATTCACTCAGTTTTTTTATTCAGCTATATTTGTTTATAACATGGATGATATATCGGTGTGTGATCTCTGCTGATAATATATACATGATGCTGACTGATTCAAACACAATTTTCACATGAAACATGACATGAGTGATTCAGTCGTCAATATTGCCTACACGCCAAGTAGTAGATTTATAGCGGGGGTAACAAGTGACAGCCGTCAGTCAGCGCGTCATCACTGTACAGTGACATGGAGCGCCGGCAACCGTGTGACGTCACCACACGTACAGTAGGCTAACAATTTACTAATATTATATAATTTAGTATAGAATATATAAAATAATTAAGATATCGCGAAAATGAACTTGGATGTAAGAGCGAGAACACAAAGTATTTCCGTAAAATTGAACAAATCATATAACAAATGTGCAACGGCAATTGACATGTTAATCCTACATAATCCAATATAAAAATGCCACAGCAACTTCTGTATACTTAATTGTGCATACCTCACTCAATAAAATACAATGTCCCCTGAATGCTTCTTCACGCCTCCAACAAAAGCTTTGTTCAAATACATGAAGTATAATAGCCGAATAAAACCATTGGCCGGTTGGCGGATGAACATATGGACAAGTTGCTGTTATCACCGACATATAGTAAGAGGCACACGCACTTGTACCCAAGTCCTCGATGAGATGAGTTTTCTAACTTACGTGTACGCCGTGTATGTCAATACAATTTATCAGGAAGTCAACATTCTGTGTCATCTAATGTAAAAATCTTCTTGATTTTTTAGTGTATAATATAATTCAAGAAAAACAACAAACGTAAAGAAAGTGTTTGACTGAATTCAGTGATATCATCACATAAGTTAGCAATAGAAATAGGATCTCGATATAGCTGTCAACTATCAGAGTGGTAATATGTTACTTTACGGTTGCCTCAAAAATAATAAGGAAAATCATTTGGCTGTAGTCTTGCGTTTCCAACATTTTACAACATCTATAAAATGTAAATACACGACAACTATGTTTTGACTACACAGCCATTATTCACCACATGTAGTGCAAGTATGAAGAAAATGACTCTGACATACCACAACAGAATCGCCAGTTTTCTTTTCGAAATTCATTATGGGTAGTGGGACATGTGTTGTGTCTCATGTTAAACACATGGCGGATAAACACGACATGAAGAATCACACATGTTCTTGGGCCACCAGTAATACCGCGACGTTGTAATATTCCATTCTTAGTTCAAAGTCAAAGACTTGGCGTGTTTCAGTTTGGGGCTACTTCATGTGTCATTTTACAGACAAATGACCATATGGCAACAAGGAGGGACTATGAGAATAGTGACTTACCTTGGTAGGATGGATGTATATATCCGATGAGACTAGTTAATGTGGTCTGGCGTACACATGTGTGAATTGAGTGACCACGGCCGGTAGTGACCTGCCTATACCCCGGCCACGTAATGGTTGCACTCACAACGCTCAAATTATCGTACAAACTATCTGTATGCTCCAATTACCACATGGTCACTTGAGATCAAGCAGAGACAAACAACGGCTTAGACAACCATATCTGACCACTCAGTGACTCTTGACCACGCGGCTCTCTTGGTCCCGCCCCATTTTGGTCCGCATCCTTAATCCCCTTGTTCAAAGCAGGTTGTTTTCTTAGGCCAATGCCATTGTTGACCATGTGACCACGGAGAGAACGGAGGGTTTCTATTGTGTTTAGCACAGAAAAAAGTCGCGTCAACTACATGATCGAAAAAACACTTTGGAGAAACTTCTAGGCGTTTAAATAAATGCATTTTCCTGCATTCATCTCCAAAATAATAATATTAATAATAATTTGCCAAACTCTCTTTTGCAGTTAACGTTTAATGTGATGTTACTGTTTTGTCAGCCCAGTCATAATTATTTGTATTAACATAAGGGCACTGGTATTATTAATAACTAATAATGACAACGTTCAAACTCTTTTTGAATGACAAAACTATCTGAAACGCACATAACTTTGCTACCAAACATTCACACCTACACACAATGTTATTTCAGTTAGTTGCAATGTATATATAAGATAATCGGTAGAGGCAAGTGTGTACATAACCACTACTGCAATCTACCCTCCTTCCTAGTTTGCCACTGTGTCCACCCCGAGAGGCATCTATATTAATCAAACCTTTAGTCAAAACTTTGCATTCGGGCTTTAAGTAAACTGCTACATTGATAAATGTGGAACTAAAACTGACGTTCGCGTTGCTCTATGTTAGATATGGTGAAACTTGGACTGGCAGATCGCAATCATAGCGTAGGAAGTGAGAAACCTACTCAATACACGACCCCCTACTTGATAGTTGAAGTGATATTGGTAAGACCTACTCGACTTTACTCTGTGACATCTAGACGCCGATATTCAAAATACAATAAATTAAATTAAATTGAAATTGTTATTGGTAAAGACAAAGTATTATCACATGTTTCCATATATATCCTCCACATGCTGAGCGAGGTCTGTGTATAGCACATGTCAGACTGTTTACCCGCTCCCCGGGGCACGGGCACTGCAATCCCAAGCCAACAGTCTATAAACAGTCATTGCACAACAGATTTCTGTCAGACATGTCCATAAACACCAGTACAGACAGCGCCACCCATATATCGTAGATGGATAAAACTGCTGGACTGACATAACTGTAACAAATCGTTGATGCTGACGTTTTACACAGGGAAATATGTGTCTGACTGGACATGATGCTATCAAGCAATGACTGTTACTATCATAACAGCACTGTCAAATATGCTACTGTGATATACCTTCCATCTCTGCAGAAACTGGTAGTCTGTTTACGAGTTTGACACAACTAGGTTCAGCTTATAATGTGTTTGATATTAACTACCATATAATTAGAAGGGTCCCCATCCGATAGTCCCTACATCACAGGGCGGGGGGAGAGAGGTATCATAACTGACACTGAGGAACTTTGACACACTGTGAAATGGTTGTTTGATATATGCTTTAGCTTACACCTTTGTTGAAAGTTATTGTGAAACATCGTTGCTGAAAGAACCTCTTATCATATGATATTCATAATCGTAACCGAAATATTCCATTGTGTCAATGTCTCATCTCATGGCAGTGTCCACAGTTGTCGATGAAGTGCCAATTCATACCCATCAAGAAACTACATGGCTTAGCATATGAAACACTATTTACTTATTTTTGTCATTGTCTAACTGAGAAAATCCTTTTGAAATAATGTCTGGTTTAGAATTATTGACGGACTATCATTCAAGATTTGTTGCCTCAGTCCTCCAAATGTCCAGGCGCCGCGTGGATTCCGAGGTAGAACATCCCATGCTTTTAGTAAGAACCAACTGTAAGGGATCGAGTGTAGCCAGGCTCGTTGGCTGAGTATAGGTCGCTGTGATGTGGTTGGAATAATGCGGCGTTAAACAACATTCACTCACTCTCATAATCTTTCATTCGAGGAAGTGCAATTAATTTTTTTTCCATTCGTGACTGATAGCCTCTGTGAAAGCACAACCCTACGTTTTCTTGTCATGTGATGTAGTTGTAAAGTGGCACTCGATGTAAAACTATACTCAGTTTCATTTTGGAAACCTAACATCTTACGTTATTATTACCCGCTGACTGACTGACTGATATAGGAGATTTAACGTGCGCTTTCCGACTGTAGCGTATTTCGCACACGGGCCTGGCCGGACCATTTAGTGTATTCCGAAAAGGGTGAAAGTGGTGTGTGCAACCCAAGAGGGGGCTTTTAGGGGTTGCTTATATTGAATTTTTGGAATTTTTAAATTTGGAATAAATGCCGAGGTGGGTGGAGGATCAAGGATATTACCCGCATTAAACTAGGAATTTTAAACAATACCGTTTCTATCCACACGTATTTCCCAGGGCAAGACAGCTAGGTTAGGTCGCAGAATCTGAAAATATTTGACATTTCACACCACTAGCGATCAGAATAGTAGCACCTTAGTATACAATATGTTCTCCTATGGCTGAGAGAAATGGTTGATATCGAAAACAAAGTGTCTATACGTCGCCACACGGTGCCCTGTCATAAGGACATGACACGAGTCCAGTCTGCCAGCTATCTCAAGTGCCCCTTTTAGATATAGCACGAGCCCCTTCTACGTGCCTGCCTCAATGGTTGCTTATCTTTGTCTTTCACTGCGCTCAACTACTGGGTAAATGTTTTTCACATTAAAGGGATATCATTGGCCGTTGGTGGACGCCAGGTGTGCTGCATTGCTATCGCTCAAATACTAATCTTGCTAGTTTGCAAACAGCGCCGCAAGAAGTGTGACTTGAAATCTATAAGTGATAGTATTCTATTACCTGGCCGGGTGATAATCAGTTTGTCTTCTGGAAATTAACTCTTGGATATAGTTCGAATGGACGCATATCGTGGAGAGAAACTAGAAATCTATCCCCTGTAGTATTTCGAACGACTCATTGTGAAACTGAGTAAAACTGAGTCATTGTTGTGTAAATAAACCTGATATGATTGAATATTTTGAAAAGGATGAGCCTCATAAACTAGATCTTCGTTGTTACATTTCTTAAAAATTGAAAGTGATATTTTCCCCTTGTATACCCGTGGTTATTATGCAGCGGAGATGGACTGCAATCCCTACTACTTGTCACCAACGCACAATCAGACCTGTCAATAACCACATTGAAATGTATTCCCATATCAATCAGACAGGCTGCTGTAATCTCCGTCATCCACGGTAGCTCTTTGATGTTGGTCATACTAATCAGCACCGGGCTGGTCAAACCTTCCCTATACTAATCACTGGTCAAACCATCCCTATACTAATCATTGGTCAAGCCATTTCCCCTCCTATTGTGGCTCCCGTATGACCTGCAGGTGTTGTTCTCAGTCACAGTGAACACGCATTATTTCTGCAGCTAATCGCAATGCACTTCTTAGTTGCCATATAATTACAACAGAGAGAGAAATACGTGTATTAAAGGACGTGTGGACTTTAGCAGTGTGTGATCTACTTGGGAATTTTTAACAAGTAGTTTCCCGACTGTGTATTTGATGGTGTACCCTTTTATAACACATCGTCGTATCTATATCCTGCCCCACTTAGATGCTGGATGTATGTTCTCGTGCGATCACGTGACAGCTCCCTCTTTGATCCGTCCTCCCAATCCCTCACCTGTCAGCCAATCTATCACATTAAAGATGGGGGTAATCCCAGGTAAATATACGCTACGCTCTCCATACACGGGTCAATGAATCACCCCTACCACGACGACGTACGGTACTGCACAGAGGTGAGTGGAATTACCTTTTTTCGTCAGCAACAGCAAGTATAAGAATTTGAAATAAAGTCTTATGTTGAATGATTAACGTTTGTGGCGTCTACTGCTGTTCTCGGTGACTTTGGTCAAGCAGTGTCTGGGGGTACTGCCACTATTTCACAGCAAGTCCATTCAGACGACTTCAAAACCTGCGTCGTGTGAAAACATAGATGTCCCGGGGGTCCATAACCTCCTCTCCCGACAGACATGGGAATAGAGACATTATTACCTGTGTCAGTAATCTAAGCAGGGCCCTTACAGAATAGGCTTCGGCATTCCCGAGGGTGTAACTCCAATGTCAATTTCTACATCAGCGAAGTATTTTTCACCTTAATGAAGCAATAGCGTTGATCTCTCAAGTACACATAACGACAATGAGGGAAGATATTTCCCCAGATTTTGTTTCTGTAGTCTGTGAAGTTGATCCCCAACCCTCCCACATAATCCCCTAGTACTTGGTAATGCGATACAAAAGTCCTCTGATGAGTAACTCCGAGTCTTGATTTACTGACGGGACCTGACCTGGAGCTGTCATTCATTTTCGGACAGAAGACTGACCAAAAGGACAATACAGGGATTCATTCCATTGTCAACGGGGATCATAGGCTTTAACTTCAGAATTAAGCACTGTTATTTAAATCAATTTATCAAATGTGGCACCTTTACTACACCATGGGGACAAATCTTGCTACTAAGAAGTATCTACTGGAAATATTCCGTATACAGGTATTGTTGAACATACCCTTATAAGGAAGGTCACGTTCGTGTTTTCTTTCCCGAATGCAATGTTCATAACTTGAGCCATCTGTTTAGATTGACACACTTCCGTGTTTTAACACCAGCTCAAATAGACAGATCCAGCTACACAACATAAACAACTCTTTGAACAAACGAATGCAGATGAAAAGTTTCGTAATATGTCTTCTCCAAACATGAGATATTAAAGTTGGCATGCTGCTCCCGGATCACTGGGTGCAGTTTCACCTGAGTCGTGGAGAGATATTCTTACATTAAATAAAGCCCGTCTGACTTGAATGAAAACACACGGACATGCCTTCTAGTCGATGTGAAATGAACACATCCGTTGAGAAGAATATTCCTTCATCGCAGCAAAGTAAACACATTTATGTTAGATTGGGGATTATTAGGCGGATGTTATTATCATGCAGACCTCGCTCCGGAGCCTCGGCCACTGGGAGTAGCAATAATAAATGCGTACACGAGGAAAAGTATGTATGTAGCTTCCGCCCATATTGACTTCCATTGTCAGTTCCACATCCATGTTGTCAGTGTGAATGACAGATATATGTGTAAACTGACTGTGAGAGGAAAGTGTTATTAATCAAATTAGTACATTTAAAATCCTTTAAATGAAATACACGCTTTCACAGCATTCTATTCGCACTCTTATTATACAAAAGTAGAGGTTTCTAAAGAAAATTACATCCCATACAGGTAACCTCTACTTGTATATGTAACAATAAGCACCTCACAGACATCAATATTACTATAACGTAGAGCATATACCTAATGTCATTCTTTTTCAAAGGAGAATATCTTAAGCTTACCCAAACGCGAGTATTGTTAATTATATGTGTTAACTGTGTTGTGATCATCAGATGAGTGTCGACTGTCTCTGCAAGAGATACATGCCTACTTCTAAAACATGTCACGAAGATCCCGAGTTGTATTCCTACTAATGACACATCCCGCTAACGTTTAAATAAATGTTGTACTTACTGATGAATTATAGCGTCCGTGACGAAAGGCAAACTGTCCGTGACTTCCACCTGGGTATATGTCCAGCGGCTGCAATACAATCCGGCGTCCTGCCACAACCAGTGTAGCCGTCTATGTCCAAGTAAACGACTCGGCCAGTGCCGGCACAAGATATGTTTGATATCACAATATTTGTAGGAAAACAGCAAGCGGGAAAAGTAAACACCGCGTCTGTCTGATTACTGCACCATCCAACTGAAGGCCAACAGGCAAGTGGTTATTGACTTGGAGAAGGTCTCCTTTAAGCTAATAAATTCCCTGTGGTGTCAACACAGCAACATGCACGCCTAATCTGTCAATAAATTAGAATAAAAGGCTCTCCTGATTTCTAAAAATGTGCGAAAACTTTCTCCTTCCACACCGACCACCCATCAGCGAGAGGTCCGGCTGTCACTTATATTTCAATAACGGTGTAATTCGCGGTCGCTAGCTGTCACTCGTCTAACCTGGCCCCCCCACCACTAACATTTTCCTTTCCCATGTAATTCCCACCAGACCCGCCTGACCCTGAATTACGGGTATAAAAAGTCCTGATCAGACACCCGTGGGTAACAAAGGACCCCCTGTCCAGCCCAAGAGATTAAGACAAGGGGCTGCTTCACTGGGTGCCCCAGTTGAGAGGCTCACACTTGATAGACTGGGTAGTGTCGGCTACTAACAACATTTGTCACTTTCCTCATGCATGTCAATGTTTCACACAATCATGTATCTTGCTGGGTCGGGTTTTGTTCATCATGATTAGTTTCATTACACACACATTCTTTCAACAAGAAGATAACGCAATTACAAACCACTTGTACCGTAATTTTAAGTCTATATACATCTAATAATGTGAATGGGTACATGGTTAATGTTCTCTGTGCTTTGTTGGAACCTTGCTTACGGTAGTAGATTGCAAAGCCAAGGAGATAATAAGAAATGAAAAGCGACAATGTATTGTTCTATTATTGTATTACTTCATAACTTCAAAAGCTTTCCTAAAACATAAATTTGTCATGGGCTTGAGTCTGAATTAGTAAGATACTAGTTGACTAGAACCTTGTGTAAGTATTACTTTTTTTTGCAAAAATATATTTCTCCAGCTTCGCTGTTCTGGCACTGGGCCTCGTGGGTCTCGACATCGATTATCACTGGTTGTACAATTCATTGCTCTTGTCAACGTCAAACAGCGAACGACTTTCGTCAGTAACATCAGCTGGTTTTCAGGGAGGGGTTTTTTTGGAGTTAAATAGAGCAGTCAGTATCGCAATGTTTTGTGGGAGAAACCATCGGGAAGGGTATGATATAATGATCAAAATATGACATAGTAACATCACCGCCATGGGAGCTGACAAGTACGTACAACACACATGTACACTGTAAGGCGAATCATTACTTGAATGATGTAAGCGTTCTATTGGTAAGGTTCGGAAGACATCTGAGACCTTAATCCTCAACCGCGCCAATAGCCATAGAAGACAGACTGAAGAATCCAACACAATACACCACTCCAACACGCAAACCAATTCTTTACAACACATTTATCAGCAGATCACATTTTGAAACAGCAAATCCTATCTAAGGTTCCCAGTCATTTAGACCAACCCCCAAGAAACCAGAATAAAAATAGCTATGTTATGTCTCATCCTGCACGCACCTAATGCAGAGACAATGAATTGTTATATTCGTGTGAAGAAGCGAACAGCAAGCTTGTCAACTTACTGAATTTCACAGAACAAGACTTATTGTCACATTTCACGCCAAATTGGACAGATTGTTTGGGTCATTAATTCGAGAGGCAGGTAATGATATAACGTATATCGCCTTACGCCTGCCCTCGGGGGCGCACATAACGCGTGCAGAGAGCGCCTACGATTGCGTGCACGGTCTGGTGTGCGCCTACCAACGAGGACAGTTCTACAATAGAGACTGTCCCTGTCGCTTTACCTCAGTGGGTCGACGAGACGCCGCTCTGTCACTTGGTAAAGATAACACTTATTGATTGTGTCAGCTACACCTCACTAGAGTTCACTTATCATATACCAAAGGCGTGTCAAGCTCATAAGTATGTTGTTACTTGTTTCTAATGTCAAGATATAATGAACGACCGATTTATTTAATAATGGCTTTAGAATCGACACCGAAATGTCGCTACAATTGTAATATAGAGGTTGACCATCTGTACTTGCTTCTAAATGCCACAAAAACATATTACTTGATTCTTAGTTGTAAACGCCACGTATTTAATGCCGTGTAGCATGTTGAGGACAAGTAATCGAGGAAACTTGGTGTCTCAAATTTGTAAAATTGCAATACAAACTCCCTACAATAGTACAATGTGCACATCAATGTGACCATTGTTACAAGAGATCCACTACATAATTCATAAGAAGAATGTCTCGCGAAGCGAACTTGTTGTATCTTCCAAAGATGATTTTCTAGTGATACACAATGGGATTATATAGTGGAATCGTTTAACGCTTTACAGAAGACTCTCTTTATTTAATGATAACTAGAATTCATGTAAACGAATATTTGTGCTCGTGGGCTATTATATGGAATAATAATAGTGAATGCGTACAATGAGAGTACATTACATATGCGCGATAACGTTTCCTCGTTGTTGGAATGCTTTGTCCTCACCAAAACCCTTTATCTACAATATAGAATGCCCATTGTGATTAGTTATTTTTGATTATTGCTGTTGTTTTAAATATTAATTCATACAATCTCGACATGTTATCGATTTCTTGTGACAGAAATGAACATGACGATCATGTGTAATTAACAACGGTTGTTAACTGAAATGAAATCCGATATGCCTTCATTTAGCCGACACATACTTTATTGATATACAGAACGACTCATAAATAAATCACAGCCATACCTACAGCATTCCTTTCCCCTGTCACATACATAAGTCACTGGCGGTAGCATTTGACCTATCATAATTCTACTTTCTTCTCTTCATCATAAAATAAAATCATGCATCTCTACTGCCTGTTGTCTGTGGTGTGGTGTGTAGGGGACATGTCATATTAGCCATGTTTGTCTTGAGGGCCTTGTCGGTAGAAGAGTAGGAGGGAACTACCAGTATAAAAGATTATACATCTGTAACGCCACCTCACATGTCCTGGTTTACCCTTCTTTCAACCGCCCACCTCCATGCCGCCGTACCCTGACACCCAGCCCGTCTATCCTTCTCCTTCATCCCATGTCTCTACCCGGACACCCAGCCCGTCTATCTTTCTCCTTCATCCCATGTCTCTACCCGGACACCCAGCCCGTCTATCTTTCTCCTTCATCCCATGTCTCTACCCGGACACCCAGCCCGTCTATCCTTCTTCATCCCACGTTTCTCTACCCTGACACCCAGCCCGTCTATCTTTCTCCTTCATCCCATGTCTCTACCCGGACACCCAGCCCGTCTATCCTTCTTCATCCCACGTTTCTCTACCCGGACACCCAGCCCATCTATCCTTCTTCATCCCACGTTTCTCTACCCTGACACCCAGCCCGTCTATCTTTCTCCTTCATCCCATGTCTCTACCCGGACACCCAGCCCGTCTATCCTTCTTCATCCCACGTTTCTCTACCCTGACACCCAGCCCGTCTATCTTTCTCCTTCATCCCATGTCTCTACCCGGACACCCAGCCCGTCTATCTTTCTCCTTCATCCCATGTCTCTACCCGGACACCCAGCCCGTCTATCCTTCTTCATCCCACGTTTCTCTACCCTGACACCCAGCCCGTCTATCCTTCTTCATCCCACGTGTCTCTACCCTGACACCCAGCCCGTCTATCCTTCTTCATCCCACGTTTCTCTACCCTGACACCCAGCCCGTCTATCCTTCTTCATCCCACGTGTCTCTACCCTGACACCCAGCCCGTCTATCCTTCTTCATCCCACGTGTCTCTACCCTGACACCCAGCCCATCTATCCTTCTTCATCCCACGTTTCTCTACCCTGACACCCAGCCCGTCTATCTTTCTCCTTCATCCCATGTCTCTACCCGGACACCCAGCCCGTCTATCCTTCTTCATCCCACGTGTCTCTACCCTGACACCCAGCCCGTCTATCCTTCTCCTTCATCCCATGTCTCTACCCTGACACCCAGCCCATCTATCCTTCTTCATCCCACATGTCTCTACCCTGACACCCAGCCCGTCTATCTTTCTCCTTCATCCCACGTGTCTCTACCCTGACACCCAGCCCGTCTATCCTTCTTCATCCCACGTTTCTCTACCCTGACACCCAGCCCGTCTATCCTTCTTCATCCCACGTGTCTCTACCCTGACACCCAGCCCGTCTATCCTTCTTCATCCCACATGTCTCTACCCTGACACCCAGCCCGTCTATCCTTCTTCATCCCACGTGTCTCTACCCTGACACCCAGCCCGTCTATCCTTCTCCTTCATCCCATGTCTCTACCCTGACACCCAGCCCATCTATCCTTCTTCATCCCACATGTCTCTACCCTGACACCCAGCCCGTCTATCCTTCTCCTTCGCCCCGTATGTCTCTACCCTGACCATCAGCCCGTCTATCCTTCTTCTTCATCCCATGTCTCTACCCTGACACCCAGCCCATCTTTCCTTCCTCATCTTCCCGAGGCAAGAGAGTAATCTGACTTTAAAAGTCCACTTTCCAACCTTGCTGAACTATGCTGGAAATTGGCTCGATCGTAGCGCCACCAGTGGCTATTACGAGTTATGTCCATTATATGCCTCTCCCATGGACCAATCAGATTCCACCTCTCGTAGCACTTGCATTTGCTTCAAACAAAACGGTGGCGCCCAGTCAAGACGATCTGATCGATAATTAAGATCTATATATTGTGATAAAATGAGTCTTATATCGCGAAGTGCATCAAATCACGTGAGCAACTTAATTAAAACATGAAAAGATTTAGCACATATCTGTTGACAACGAGTTAGCAGTGCACGTGCTTTGCAAATCCTGCAATCGACCGAAATCTGCATGACAGTTTACGAACCGGATTTCGATTTCGGAGCGCGAATTTGATTGGACTATGCATGGACTCGTTAGTCCAGCCAGAATGTAACTCCACAATACCAGCCTAGATCGGCAAGGGTGGAAACTGGACTTTTATAGTCAGTTAACTCACTTGCCACGGGGAGATGATCCTTCTCCTTCATCCCATATGTCTCTATCCTGTGCAGAAAAATAAACTACATGACACTTCCGGAACTTTCCAGCAGAATACCACGCTGAAGTTTAAACTGCCTACTACTGTTGCAGTATTTTTCGTTGTCATACAGTGACGAAAGGTCACACTTTGTGTATATTAAATTAATCATCAAAACTTTACTTGATAT